CTCTGGGGCGGCATGCAGTGGCAGCTCGAGCACCACCTCTTCCCCACGATGCCGCGCTACCGCTACCCGGCGCTCTCCAAGGTGCTCGCGCAGTTTGCGTCGGAGAACGACCTCACCTACCGCGTCACCGGCGAGTTCAAGATCATCGGCGACAACGTCGCCCTGCTCAAGAAGATCGGGCAGGGGCCGCAGCAGCCGGGCAACCCGAACTCGGAGCCCCTCTTCAAGCAGGTCTGAGGGCGCCGCGCCACGGCACGCCGGCGCGGCCAGCCGCGCTCTCCCGCCCTTGCCGGTGGCGGGACGCGGCGCATGGTATGCGTTCGACGGTCGCCGGCCGTGGTGGAGGATGCTGTTGGGCGGGGGTGGGGGGGGATTCCCTCCTGGACTGTTGGTCTGAGTCGCATGCGATCATGCCTCATGTGGAGACGATTCGACGCATTCTCATTGTATGAGAGCGGGCAGTCCGCTCGCCCGACTGGGACTAGCTCGTCTATTGTTTTTGCCGCTAGCGTAACTACTAGGGGAGACATCTTGTCGTCGCGACTTCACCGCTGGGAAAAGTAAGTCCACACTGCACACGACCTCACAAAGAACCGACAGTGCAGCGGTCTCGGGTCTGCCACCACTGGCACTGCCAGTCGAGCAGTGCCCTGTGAATGCCTGTGTGCCGCCAGACGTAGGCCGGTCGGACCCGATTTTATTAAATTTTCAAGTTTAAGCGCAGACCTCAAGACTTGAACGCAAGCATGTTCAGGCCATCTAGAGTGCCGAACAACATCGCACCGGTTCGATTCGCGCATCACGGCCGCGCAAACTGGCTGCACTGCGGCGCGAGGCTCAGCGGGGCGTCCGGACCACTGACTCGGGCGATGTGGTGGTCGAGCGCAGCCTTCTTGAGCTGGAGAGCCGCCGCAGTATGCGCGGTGGATGGGACGTCGGCCAAACCGCGACGCGCAAGCTGCAGGGAGGAGCTACAGCGGCTCCGCTCCTCATGCTGGTTCGCCAAACCGAGACGTTGAGGTCCTCGTACACTCATGTCGCGCCTCGAGTAAGAGCCATCACGCTGCCCAGCGCTGGACCGTCGTAAGGTCCGGCCTTAGGCCAGCTCGCAGCACTGTATGAACTCACGCTGGCGAGCACCATCCCAGGATGAGGCCTTCAAGAGCGCGCGCCAGGGACGTCCGTATGGCAAAATCGGCGTGAATTCGCTATGAAAACGCTTCCAACCCATCAAGAGCGGGCTCAGAAGAGACGATGCTAACCCAGGATCACCAGGGCACCTTAGGGTATCGAAATTTTCCACCCCCCCACCCCC